AAAAGCTTATTGCTTTCATGAACAATGTAAATCAGTAAATAACTATTGCACTTGAAGATGTTTACTTTCTTTCATGCTTGCTTTTTCCACACAACACTAAAATATTGTTTCGATTTGGGCAGAATGTAAAACAACATTAATAGTTATTCATTTCTAGATTAACTGTATTCCTTAGATTAAGCTCCAACTTTTGATTGTGTTTGAAGCTGCAATGAAAAAAATTCTAAGGAGGAAGTAATTACCAAACCCAGGCTACCTAGTTACAAAACAATCACTCATGATTTGAGTAATAAAATGGTAAAAAAGTTAGACAACTACAGTTATTACTTCCGAATCAACCACAACGCAACGACCGTTGTAATCGGCTTGGTAACCTCGTCATGTTGGCAAACCAAGACTCGCGGGGGTACTAGACCTCAACTTGTCAACAAACTTCTTGACAAGTTTGACGGATTTGTGGCCGTGGGTACATTTTAGCTTGGAATTTTTTACTTCGTTCGGCAGGCTGTCCGGACAGAAGTGTTTGGCCTTGTCTTCTCTTTAAGAAGAGAAAACCAAGATTAAAATAAAACCGCTTAAATCAAGTCAATCGGTAAAATAACGACATCAGGAGCAAATAACACACGTATAGAATAAGGTAAGCCGTTTTATTTAATATTTTCACTTTTAACTATCTCCATGGATATCTTGTAGAAAATCCCATACAAATACTTCTAAATCAATATGCAAATTGTGTTTCGTGTGTGGTTCTCGAAGAGAGCTTGGGTCGCCTGTGGTTTTAGGTTCGCGATTGAGTCCTCCAGGTCTGGTTTGAAAAATTGCAAATTTTTAAACGTCCATCCTCTGTAAACTAATAAAAATGTTTCGCTGCTGAAGAACGATGCTAAGATCTTAACCATTTGACTTTTGCCGCAGCACGTTTTAAAAGTTATACCAACCGTTCATCAAAGAAACGGCGGCAACTTGATAACATTGCATAAAACGTTAGTTCCCACTAAAAAAAATCCCTTTCTCTTTTTTACATTGGAAAGCTTACTGAAGTTTCCAGTGTTGCTAAAGAAACTTCATGCACAAAAAGTAAACTGATTGGCGTTTGCGAATCGGAACATAGCGTTTCAAACTAACAGCTGAAACATTTCATCGTTATTGAAGCCGATACGACAAGAAATCAAACACTGAGCTAACATTGGCGACGCACTAATGAATTGAATAAAGTGTAGAAACTTGACCAGCCGCCTCTTGTAAACAAAATTCCATCCAAAATCCATTATTTGCCAATATTTTAACACAGCCTTTAATTTAAATTTCGCTTTCAGGATTTCAAAGGCAAAGCAAATAGCGGCAAAGAGTTATAATTTTCATCAGAAATCCGTCTC